TTGAAAAGAATTTCTTCCGTGAGCCCACATCTCAGGGGCACGATGCACTTGGATTATTGAAAGTTTAGAAACATTTAGGTTATTATGGTAAATAATTCACACAAATCCTGACAAATGCAATTTATTCTTTTGTACAAACACAAGGAGGAGCAGACACCGGCTGCTCCTCCACTTACTCCCAATCCTTTTAGCGCCACCTAGTGGGGAATCTCCGCTAATGACCGCGCTGCCTCGGGCTGTCTCCTCTGCAAAGGGAGGGACATGCAATTCCCAAAGAAGCCATTGAAACCCCCCTTTCCATTGGCGCTTCAGTGTGGGCGCTAGAAATACCAGCAAGGCCAGAGGACTGTGTTCTGTGGCTCAACAGAGTGCGCAGCAGGGGCCAGCAGCAGCACCTCCGCCTGTCAGTCTGGCGGTTGTCCCTCATCAGCGCTGTGATCACAAGGCCGGGCTTCTCCGGGCCTCGGCGTGCCGGCTGAAAATGGCGCGAATAACTTGACCTGGCCTGTAGGGTGAGCTCAAGGACAGACTGAAACGGTGCCTGTGAGGGCGCTGGCACCGTGCCTGGCACTCAGTAAATGGTCCCAGTGATGAGTGAACGCGGCCCGCTTGTATTTCTCGCCGCCAACACACTGAAGCTCCAGCGTGCAGCCCGAGTGCTTGAGGCTGAGCAGCCGCACAGAATGGTTTGCCCACGCAAACGGTTGCCGGTTATTATTTCTGAAGTGAAAGCATTTTAAGATGTGTCTTCTTGACCAGATGATGCCAAGCTTTTTCTCTCTCTCCCCCTGCCCCCATCACCCCTTTTGGCCAAACTCCAATCAAGGAATAGAAATATGTGACCTGGACCCAGCAAAGATCTTAGGGGGAGAACATTTAAGTCTTAATGACACCTTCTGTTTAGGAGAGACTTAGAGAAGTCATCTTTCGTGTTTGAGATAGGAGGAGGTGCTGCTTGGTGGGAAAGATGGTGGTAGGCTGGGGCTGTTGGGTTTAGGACTAATTTGGTTTCGTTAGATTCAGTTCGGGAAGGAAAGACGGTCCTTTCTGTCCCTCCCTGGTGTTTCACGGGCTGCATATTTCTTCCCGTAAAGTCCCCTTTAGACTTAGGCACGTTTCTTTTTAAGGAGATAGAAGCAGGCTTCTGTGCACCTTAGGCAAGTGTGGATTAAGGCAAAAGTACTCTCTGAAGGAAGAAGTGTCTATGTTTTGCTAACAAGTTTAGGTGACGAGCATTTAGCTCTGGTCCTGGTGGACTCTTTCTACGTAATCTGCGTTCTCAGTGCCCTTGACCGTGTGAAGGCATGGAAAGGCTGGCAGCGCAGCCTGGGGACCTTGAGGGCAGCACCTTGCTCTTAGGTAGCTGCGGGTGCCAGTCACCCCATCTGGGAGGGGCGATAGGCTCTAAGTGGCTGTCTCTGCATCTGGCCAGGGGTCCGAGGCTGGCTGTGAGCCAGCAAGACGGTCAGGAGGGCAGAAGGCTGGGGAGTGCGGGGCTTGGCATCTGAGGGGCCAGACTAAGTGCCAGCCTGCCTCTGCCACCTGCTTCCTCGTCCATGATGTGGGGACCCCACCCTTAGCCCACTGTCACAAGGATGAAAGGAGAGGCTTTACCTGAACTCACTCTACAAGGCTTTGGGGCCACCGAGTGCTTCCTGGGCTGGGCTGCCCGACCCGAGGCGCCCCCATCCTGTCAAGACATTCGGACTTGAAACACATCAGTCACAACAACAGTTTAACATTTTACTAAATCAAGTCACACAAATTCCAAATTGCAAATATAATTAAGGACAACAGATTCTGTTCTGCCTTTTAAATCTTTCATTTTCAAATCCATCATTAAGACAAAAAGTAAACAAAATTAAGTCTGCAAATTCTTGATTCTTCTCGAGGGAAAAAAAAAAAAAGGAACATTATAGTAAAAAGAACGCCACTGGGTGTACAATAAAGCACCACGACACACAGTTACAAAACGGGGCTTCCTGGATTCTGCCACGCGTAGAAGACACCGCCCCCCCGGGATCTGCGTCACGCAGGATTTCATTAAAATAAAACTATAAAATCTCCTAGGTTACACTAAAGTCAGACACGGTCTGGAACACAGTGCTTAACAACAGTAATGCCAACTATCAGTGCTAACGTAAAAACATTTTAGAAGGTCAAAAACAATTAAACTGGAAACCAAAACCTTATTTTCCCTAGATGAGCAGAACTGAAAATGAAAGGCCCCACCTCCCAACAGGAGTGACGGGGATTTTTTTTTTTTTTTTTCTTTCAAATTGGAGGTGGGAGACACAGCGCGGGCTGGCACTTAGTTCCTCAGCCTAGTTGGCGTCCAGCTTGGCCATTTCCTGCACGTAGATGCCTATACTCTCACTGTCGAAAAGCACGAAATACACCGTTTTGATGGAAGAGGACATGGTGGACACGAAGTAGCTGGAGATGGCCTTCAGGATCAGCTGGGCCGCCGTCTGCTTCGGGAAGCCGTTCCTGCAGGACAGAGCGAGCGCTCAGACCCGGGGAGGCCCGCGGGACCCTGCCCTCCCCTCCACCTCCCCCGGCCAGGAGGCCTTCAAGGCCCCCTGTGCTGTCCTGCCTCGGGGGCCGGAGGGCCTGAGCCCCGGGACCAGGGGGACAAGAGGGCGCGGCTCCCTTGTCCCCGGGAGAAGGCTCTGTGTGCTTTCAGAGAGGGGAAGCACGCCAGGGAGTTTGCTGGGAGCAGCTGGCCAGCGGACAGGCTCGGGGAGTGTGGTGTGCTCCGCCCGAGGGGCGGCACAGCTCCTGTGTCTCATCCCACCACCAGCAGCGTGACTAGCAAGGGACTCGAGACCCCGCCCTGCTCTCGGGCTCCCAGGGCACGGCGGGAGGCTGGCCTTCCCCAGGAAGGCACCAACCTCCGTCCACACAGGTAGGAAGGCTGTGCGCTTCATGCTGGCCTTTAGGTTCCGTGGGTGCCAGGGCTGCTGCAGGCCTCAACCCCACACACCCCACACCTGCCTGTAAGCCTCAGGGGCCAGGGCATGGGGGAGCCGTGGGTACAGGGCAACAACTCCTGTCAAGTGGGCGCTGCATTCAAGAGAAAGCACCATGTCTTTAGGCCACATCGTGTCCTTGCTCGTGTGTGCAGGAGCCTGTTCCTAGGCAGCACTGGGGCCGGGACATGGTAGCTGGGCCTTCTGGTGGACTCAACGGGTTTTGGAGCCAGTGGCCTGGATTCAGAGCCCTCATTGGCTCCAGTTGCCGGTTAAAGATGCCCATGAGAGAGAGTGGGCCTACTTTTTAATGGGGATTTCTTTGTTCATCAACAGGTCTGTAATCTTCAAGTCTGCACGCCGAGCCTGGGGACACAATGGTGTCTGAAGCGGGGCCAACCTGCCAATGTGGGCTGTGACCGTCCTTCAAGCTGGGGACCTGTCCTTCAGCCTGACTGTCCTTCAGGCTTTTAAATATGTAAGGTATAGATTTCTTAGGACACTCTTAGCCTCACTGCTACCTGCTCAGGAGTTCTGAACTACTCTAGCTTGAAGAGCCACACTCAGTTTAGAGCCCAGAGCCCAAGAGAACCACTCTAAAGACATGTGCCCAATCAGGGCTTCAGCCAGCTTGATGACAGACCCCTAGTCGCTTCTACATGCTTCAGAAGTACAGCTCATTCCTAGAAGATGGGGGGTCACCTAGGGCATGTTCCCACCCTGTGCCGAGGAGCCTGAGCCAGATAGTGGGGTGTGACCTTGAGGGGGAGGTCCCCCGCACACAGCACTGCCCATGGGGCTGGTGGTGCAGAGAAGCTGGACAGCTTCAAGGGGTTCCCTGGGAGCCCCATCTACCACCACAGTGGGGTGACTGTGGCGGGGGGTTTAGGGAGGAACATACAGGAAGAAGGGCTTTGCTGGGAAGGTGATCCCCTCACACCATCCCCACTCTGGGATCTGCAAGCTCAGTCTGGAAGAATCTGCTCTCACCACCCCTAGCAAAGCTGCCTCAACTAGTTTCATAGGCATCCAGGGGCACAGAGGATGGAGATGCCCAGAAAGAGGTGTGTGTCAGGACGTGCCTGAGAAGTACACTTGATGTTGTGTTTCTCGGGGCCTCTCTCCAGTGAGTGTGCTCTGGGGGGAATGGGAGCAAATGTCTAGGGAGTTGGACTCATCCGCTGTGGGGAGCATGTCCATGCAGGCACAGGGTCACTGCAATAAGGGCCCAGTTTGAGTGTCTTACAAAGAGCCAATGTTTCTCTTCCTGCAGTGATTACAGCTGCTGCCTGAAGGACTCGGCAGATGACAGCAGTCCCATTAGTTTCATCCCTGGTGAGAAAGGTCTGAGGAAGAGGCAGGAGTGGGGGCGCCCAGGACGCAGCCTGGACATAGCCTGGGCTTAGGCCACAGGAACCCCAAGGGCTTCTGGGCCCTCCTGTGGGCTCGGCCTTGCACCTGCACAGGTGAGCTGGGCTGAGGGGAGCGCCTACAGAACTCCCCATCAGAGCAGCGTTGTGTGGGCTGACGGGACAGCACGGCCCCTCTGGTGGGTGGGCTGAGCTGGGGGAGATGCGGCGTGATGTAGACTCCAGCTCCCTCTGTCCTGCTGACTCAGAGGCACACCGGTAATATGCCGGTATCCTGCCTGTGTCCAGCACGTCTGGACAGCGCTACCACCATGGGAGAGGGGTGCGGCTCTGCCAGGGAATGCTCTTTCCCGCTCCTCTGCATCGCTGAGGATCACGGAGGGTTGGTCAGATACAGGTCGTTGGACTCTACCCTTTGAGAACCACTGTTCTGCATTTTGTCAGCATGCCTTTTATAATCTGATCTCAGATCGTAATTTGGGCTCAAAGGTGGAGAAAGAAGTGGGGCAGAGAAGCCGGGCTCAGTGTTAGGTCCACAGCCCGACTGCTAACAAGGCAGAGCTGCTGTGGTCTTGTCCTTTAAGGTTGCTGGGCGAGGGTGAATCGGATTGATTTCCAGGAAAATCCCTGGTTGACAAACCCACCCCTCTGTCATAGGCAGCCACAGCCTCAAAGAGAAATCAAGTCACGAGACTACGGCCGCTCGGGACCAGGCAGACCGCCGGGAAGGAACGCCAGGGATGGCTATCCTCGTGTTTCAGGTCGGGCCCAGATGCTCCCCAGTAGCCCCAGTTAGAAATGTTGGTAACTAAAGGGAATGAGTAAGTGGAGGCTTTGGCCAGAGTGTGCTGCTCACCCCTTGATGGGCGGCTGTGGCCGGGCAGCTGGCCTCTCTCCAGACAGAGCGGGGCAGCGCAGGCTGTGGAGCCCCAGCCCGAGCCCCAGCCCTGTCTTTGTGCAGTGGAATGGGGCAGGTAACCCCGGCGCCCGGGGCTGGCTGTGAGTGTGGAACAGATGGTGCAGAGAGGACACTCAGCCAGTCAGAAGGGGAGGGTCTCCAGGGGTCTTTCGAAAGGTTCCCATAATGGAAAGCTGCCCCCCACCACTGACAACTGTGGCTGGGGGACCGCTGCAGTCACTGCAGGACCCCTGTGCTAATGCTGGCCTGCAACTCGGGGCTGCTGCCCGAGCCAGTGATGCCAGGACTGTTGGTGTGGCTGGGGCCGGGTTGGGGCCAGATGCAGCCTCACTGCAGGGTTCATGCTCATGTCATGCTGGCTGGTCCCCTCACTGGCTGTCTGTTTCCTGCCCCTTTGTGTTTCTCTGCCCTGTGACAGTCACTCTGTCCTTACCTTCCAGAGTCTACCTTTTAATTCAAGGGCCCACGTGAGGATGCTGCTGGCCCCAGAGATGGAGTGGGGGGGTCCCTCATATTCCCACTCAGCCAGCTGTGGCTGCGGCATGTGCCCTGAATTCCTCACAGGTGAGTTTTAGACTTTGGCCTTTTTTTGTCTTGGGCAGAAGAACAAATTGTCTGTCTCCCCTGAAGTCACTCTAGTGTCTGGAGCAGCCTTTCCCAAGTGTCTCAGGCCTCAGTTTCTCTGGGCTCGTGCAAGAGACCCCACAGGCCATCTGTCTGTTCCTCTTGGGTCAGCCTGCTCAGTGGTGACGGAGGCTGTCTACACTGCTTCTTGGCCCACCCTCCTGGCTGGATGGCACAGATTCTAGGTTCACAAAGGCCACTTCCCAGGAAAGGTTTCAGTTTCTCCGACTCTGCTGAGTCCCCTCATGTGGGGCATTTGAGACAAGAGCTGTACTGATCCAGGGGCTGCGGAAGTCCAGGGGGGGTCTAGATGGGCTCTGGTTTTCTTGCTGGGCCAATCCACCTAGCTGTCTGCGCCTCTTGGGAGCTGGGAAGGGCTGGGTGTCTGGGTGATGTGGAGAAAATGCCTGTCAGCCATGTGTGGACATGCCTCTGCTGGGAGCAGATGCCCTCAAGCTACATGCCTGGGCCTTTCCATGTGCCATGTTTCTTTGTGGCTTTAAGTAACTGCTCAACTGAAGTTGTGTTAGCTGGAAGCCACTTGAGCCCAAGGCAAGGCCAGGTAAGCAGAGGCCTCAACTAAGAGCACTGGGCTACAAGCTGAAACTCAAAAGGGGAAAAAGTGGATTGTTTCACAGGAGCTCAATGCCTCCCCCAAGTTTTTGGTCCCTAAGGATAAATGGGGGAGCTGCAGTAGCAATGTCAAAAACAAAACAAAAAAACCCAGCATCTTGCCTTTATTCACTATTGGATTAATGGATAATCTTTTCCAATTTAGTTTACATCTGTTTTAATGCCTGTACCTAAGGGCAGGAGGCTGATGGCTGCGCCGGTCAGCACCTTCCAAGCATCCCCAAAAGCCCCTCACATGAAGTATGTGCAGGCAGTGGGGTGATCTTCCACAGGATAGAAGACGTGGGCCTGCTGACCAGCAGGGACAGGAGGCGTGGGTGCACATGCCTGAAGCCACCAGTGCTGAAAGCAAGGGCCTGGATCAGGTTCTGGCTCCACCAGGTACCAGCCGTGTCAGGTAAGGGACTTAACCCTTGCATGGCTTCCGGCTTCCGTTTGCATGGGATTTACAGTGCTCCCCTCGAGCATTGTTAGAGAATGTAGATAAAGGGTTTAGCACAGTGGCTGGGTGTCATGACTATCCCTGAATGGGAGGCTGAAGAAAATGAACTTTCCTTTTAAGACCATAAATCTCAGCTCTCTAGGCAGAGTTTAATCAAAGCCCCAAACTAGCTATTCCCTTTGTACACTCCTCCTGAGAGGGGTAGCCCCCTAATATCAAACAGAGCCGCGGGGGTGGGGCCATCATAAATACTGTGACCAAATGCCCAAGGACAGGATGTCCAGATGCCCGGGGTCTCACCTGCCTCCAGGGGCCTTTCAGCCTGGCCCGGGGGCCTGTGGTCATTCTCCATGTGCCAAGACACGGGGCCTTGGCTGAGTGAGAAGGCGGCCACAGCTCTTTGCCAACACCTTTGCATTTATATTGTTTTAGTTCCAACATGACTTTTACGCTGGAGACATTAGATGCCACAAACAAGCTGTTTTATTTCCCCTTCTTAAAACCCACTGTGATTTACTGGCCGTCTCTGCTGTAATCCCATTCTCTGCTCATGAAAGAGAGGGCAGCTGTTTACACGGGTCTTTGGGGCGAGGTCTGTCTGACAGATGTGGGGCAGGGTCGCTGTGCACATGTGCTTGCCTTTGGCATTCCGCTGCCTTGAAAGCTTTCAAATGATTATTTTTTAAAACTTTTTACTCATGAAAAATGTAAATAAGTTGGTAATAACAGATGCTCTTTTATGAGAATTACTTTTATGCTTCAATTAAAAATTTCCCACTAGCCATAGGAAAGAGCGTGAAATTATTACCTCCAATAAAGGCTCCTATTGCTTCTCTCTTCGGAAGCACCTTTCATCAGAGTAGATCAAAGCGCATCCGAGCGCTAATTAACTGAGCCTCAGAACTGGCTGTGAGGAAGGGCAGTCCCCCAAAGCCCTGCTCACTGATAAGCAGACCTGGGCCAGAGAGGTTGACTCATTTACCAAAGGACGCACAGTGCCGAGCAGGCCTTCCAGGGAAGGTGGGGAGCAGCAGGAGGCTGGCCACTTGTGCTCGGGTCAAACAGCCCTTTATAAAAAGCTGCTCTGGGATTGCTGCTGGCCCTGGCCCTGGCCCTGTAACACGCCTCCCGAGGCCGGGGAGCCTGCACTCAACTGGGTGCTTGCTGACTGCCGGTGCAGGATGCTTGTCTTTGCCAAGTGCTGTTGGAGCTAAAGTGCTTTGAGCTGCTCTTTAGCTTTTAATTTAAAGCGTGTTGACTTTTAAAGTGATGTTCAGCCTAAGCTCCTGGTGAGAGGATGAGTGAAGTAGCACCGTGGCTGCAAATGTAGACAGAAGAGCATGAGTGGGATCAGGTAGCTCTCCCTGTCCCCGCACTTGGGTGGTGACATGGGGAGCAGGCTGAGTCGGGGGCACTGGCTGAGCCTCCAGTCCTGCTCAGGGTCAGAGACCTCACGGGGCTGTTTTGGTTCTCCAGCTTCCTCTTGCCAATGAAACGGCATTGTTCAAACAGCACTGAGGACTCAGAGGACACACCGGCGCCGCAGACCCAGCCGCCGTGAGGAACTGCTCCCCATCACCAAAGGAGGGGAGACCTTAGCCTGCTCTGGGGCCATCAGCATGAATCTTGATGGGGACACTCACTCTGCAACCAGACTGAGCTGTGAGGTACGGCGACCTGTGGCTCTGCACGGCAGTTCTGTGATAGAGGTCTACTCCCTTCCCAGCCCGGAGATACCCCCAGGTAGGCTGACTGAGGCTGCAAGGCGCACCACGGCTGTCGCGCAGACCGACAGATGGCCCAGAGAGCAGCCCTGTCTTGCCCCTGCTCTGTAAAGCAGGCACCACAATCCCTACACACACTGTCTTCGGGTTGTCCTGGAAATGGAAGGAGCTCTTAGAAGAGTCTCCCTCTCTAAGGGTTTTGCCGCTCAGGCGGTATCTCACTGGTACCCAGTGCCAGGAGCCTTTCTGCGCAGGGTGGAAGCCCCAGGCCTCTGAAACGTTCACACGATGCAAAGGGATCAGCCTACAGAGCTGCAGCCATTGGCATCCTGGGCCCATGCACTCTGTGATGACATCTGCTGTCTCAGCTGAAGGTGTGCAGTGTCCTCACCACACCACTCCCCATTGCTGAACGTCTGCATTCTTCCCTTTGTCATACTTCTAGGCTTCTGGACTAGAGCATCTTGCACCCAGCCAGCTCCCCCGTTACAGGCCAGATATACCCACAACCCATGTGCTTACAGGCTGTGAGTCCTACCTGCCGCTTCCGATGGAAGGAAACGCGATGGACTTCAGCTTCTTATCATCTGCCAGGGCCAGACAGTTCTTCACTGTCTTTTCCAGAAGTTCCTCACACTTGTCCACACCCCACACCGGACTGTTACAGTGGATCACAAACTTGGCGGGCAGGCCATGGCCTGCACTCACAGCAGCTGAAAGTGATAAGACAAAAAGTGAGTTCTGCCCCTCTGCAAATCACATGACCCGAGATGCCAAACAGACCCACATCCCACCGCAGCGTGTGTTCCTGGGCCCCCAACGGGTGTGTGTCCAGGGAGGGCTGCAGCTGCCTGCTGTGTTGGGATTCCAGCGTGAGCTGGAAAGTGCTCAGGGAACCTTGTCACTCAGGGGGAAGCCAAGGCTCACCCATTGGAAGGGTGGCAGTAGGCTGCAGCACCGCTAGGAATGTCAGCCAACATTATAGCCAGTGCTCCCCCTAGGCTCCCAGAAGGCAGCACACCATCTAACCGTCCAGATGTGTCAGAATGTTAGCAGCCTCAAATTAATAGCCTTTGGGGTCTCCTACCGCCTTTCCTCAAGTGGATTCATGTGCAGATAATTATGATGTCTCTATAAATCTCCCAGACACAGTTCAGGATCAACCTATTAGGAAAGCCACCGCTTTTAATGAGCGGCTAAGCAACCCGACTGGCGTCTCTGTTGCCTCTTCTAAGAGCTCCTGTTCAGTATTGATGGAAATATTCTTTTCTAGAAAGGAGTCATCTTTTTCCAACTATACAACTGCACAGCCAGGCCTGTCTTTCCAAGTCTGCTCCCCACCAGGGAATGTAACAGGGCAGCCCATATCACCCAGGATTCCTGTTTCAAGAGCTGCAATGCAAAGAAGGGGTTGGAGAGGCGAAAAGCGGGAGCACAAAGGTAAGGGGCAGGGGCTCTGCAGACGGCTGCCTGCTGCACGCTTTGCTCCGGCCATGTCACTGTTAGATAGTGTTAGAGTGACTGTGGGGAGTGTAGCACGGACACATTTGGGGAGACGGGGGGTGGGGTTAATCCACTGGTCTGTCCACAAGGGATCCTCTCATGAAGAGGTAAGTACTGGAGAAGGGTGAAGAAGTGAAGCAGAGCGCACAGGTCAGACACTGTGGCCGTGCAGGTGGAGCCTCCCTCCCTCCCCCTTCAGAATGAATGAGAGAGAGAAAGGGAAAGTGAGGAGAAAGAATGGGAATGAATATGCATGACAGAGGAAGGATGATGAAGAGGAAAAGAATGAGAAAACAAAGGAATGAAAGGAGGGGCCTCCCGTGGCGGTGCAGCAGTTGCTGGGCTGGGAGGCCGCCCGCAGCCTCTGCAGCGCCAGTTGGCTCCCCAGCCACAGGCGAGGGTCCAAAAAAAAAAAAAAAATTGAAAGGATGAATGCAAGAAATAAAAGATGGAAAGAATGAGAGAACAAAGGGAGGACTGAATGGAGGAGAGAGAATGAATACACGCACAAAAAAGGAAGAAAGAGGGGAGAGAGCATGAATGGGAGAGAAAAAAATGAAAGAATGAGAGGAACGAGAAAGGATAAAATCATGGAAAAGCACACACGTAAGGAGGAAAGAGAATGAAGGACTGCATGAGAGGACGGACGGACGGGAAGAGTCAGATGCACGCGGGAGAGGATGACGTGAGTGTGCAGGGGGAGGGTGAACGCATGTGAGGAGGAGAACACATGAAGCGATGAAGGGAAAACGAGGGAAGACAAAGGAAGACGACATGACTGGAATGAGCGGAAGGACGAGGAACTGTGCAAGCGTGAAGGCCTGCAGGGGAGAAAAAGGGAGCGCGAGAGCCAGAAACTACAACCATGAAAGAACCACCCACCACCTTAGGAAAGACTTTATGCTGCAACCAAATACTGTTTCCTCACTTTTATACCTATGTATTATGTATCTATTCTATATACATATTATGCATAGATAATGATAGACATAGAAATAGTTGTCTCATAGCATTTGGCATCTCAATTTTTTTTTTCATTAATCTCAACATTTACAGAGGAATAGTGTTGTCAGGTTTGACATCCCTTTAAGAAAAGCAGCCCAGACATTGGTCTCATGCACAGTGATAAAAGATCAGACCAAGGTCTTTGACTATGATGCATTGAGACAAAAACAAGGTCATGTGCCACACCAAAGCACCACACATGGACCTCGCTTTTCTGAAGTAAGGGATTGCTGCTTCTCTACCAATTACTTAATTCATGATTGAGACACCAAATCATAAAATTAGCCCACTCTTTGACACCAATCTAGTGCAACATCACCTTTAGACCCTCTCTAAAATTAACCCCCCAAAAAAGGTTGACACCTTATTACTGAGCCCCCCGTGTTTCTCATGTTGTGTATCCCCCACCCCATCCACAGGAGTGAATAAGTCCCCGGATGAGCAGCAGTGATGAGGGGTCGGCTGCAAGGTCTGATTCAAGAGAAGCCTCATTCTACTCTTAAGGACGATGGTGGCCTTGAACTTTCTGGTCTTTCTCTTCCCCCATAGTCTCACTTAGAGTCCATGAGAACCACCAATTCACTCTACAGTATTAGGCACCCCTGGAATGTCAAAGCAAATTAATGAACTTTGGGGTGTCATAAATTCTCAACTATCATAGACAATGTGAAGTTCTCTGGGAACAAAAGATAATATCCAAACTCTAATTCTGCCCCTGTGACAGGTGGATTGGATGGTTGCCGAGTAGCAGGAGGGAAGGGAATGGAGAAGTGACAGGATTCCAACATCTGAGTCAGCCTCAGAACAGGACATGCCTGACACCCAAGCCTGAATGACAGCACACCATCAATAGAGTCTAAAGATGATGCCAGCTTAAAAAGAGCTGCTGTTACTGTGAGGATGAAACCTCACCCATTATTTTCTGAATGCAGCTTAGGAGATCAACCCTCACTGACCTATGACCTCTTGAGAAACACAAAATTAGAAGACTTCCTACTGGTAAAATGGCATCGGAATCAGCAGGTGACAAGATTAACTGGGCATAAAGGTCCAGATCAAAGTGTGGTCTCAGACTCAGCCCACAGTGCTCACTAAAGTTTCTGGTGTCTGAGGAAGATGGACAATCGCTTACTCCCTATATCTGGGAAGGAATAATTTGTAAATGACAAACATGTACGTTTTTTCCAATAAAAGTATATGTGGCTGAAAGAAAATTATTAATTTGTCTCTCTCACTACTCTTAAATTTGCCAAATTTGGTTTCTTTAATGCCTTCAAATTTGAGATCTATCCAAGCAACATTCAGAATCTATTTAAGGTAATAAAAAAAGAAATTGGGAAGGCAACTCTCCTAACTGTTAAGTTCCCCCTGACAACTGAACAGACTTACCTCCATCTCAGAGATACATCTGCTTTGCCATGGGCCTCTCAATTCTAAGCCGCCTCATAAAATGATTTCCCCAATACTGCAGGGGCCACACCAAATCAGCTCAGCATGCCCCACCTCACCTCCAGCTACTTCCAAAGGCCCGTTCTTTTTCCGGAGTTCCAGAACAGCTTCCACAAACTCCTTGCCACCTTTCTTCTCCAGCGTGTTCCCTAGACAAGGACAGAGCAAGGTCAGACTGCCGTTTTGTATCTTGGGGCACACACAGACACTTAGCATGTCAGGTGATTACATACTTCAAATGATCTCACCAGCTAAATTTCCATACCATTGCAAAATAGGAACTAAGCCTTGGCTGAGTCAGAAAAGTGAAATTTACAAAGGACTCCTCATTGGTCAGTTATCACTCCGGCACTGCTGCTCTGCCGAGCTGTCTGTGCTGCCCTTATTTACAGTGACTCAGGGTGTCCTGGATGGCCAGTGACGCGAGGGAGAAAAGAGATGCCTGTGCTTTGCAGGCACGCCTGTCCTGCTGCTTTTCATCAGCCTGAGAAACCAGATGGTGCTGGCTTTCAAGGCTGATGCCTCCCCTGAATTTTCTCCTCTGGGGAGAACCCCCAAATAAGGAGGTTTTAGAAGAAGCATACCATGTTCCCATCAAGCAGCTAGCTCTTGGCAGCAGGCCCAGGAGAAAGTGTTCATATCTGTCCACCTTTGGACCAGCAGTTTTACCATGCTTTGTTCCTATTTTGCAGCTCTGGTGTCATATGCAAATACAAAAAAAAAAAAAAAAAAGGCCTCAGACAGTATGACAGTATTTTCTTAATCACATTAATGATTCATAATCATCTTAGGTAAAGAAGAGCAACATCCGAAGCAGAGCTTAAAGATGAGCTGGTACTATGTAAAAGCTCAGGAAGGAGGATGACTCTCCAGGAGCAGATTTAAAACAAAAGCTCCAATGGCTGGGGGACACTGTGTTTTTCGATTTGAGGTAACTTGCTAAATCAGTTCCTGCTGTCAAGTTCCCAAACAAGATTAACAACGTTGAACGAGGTTTGGGTCAAATATCTTATTGACAGCAGTAGCCTTAAAAGTTTGACCAGAATGGGGTCTAAGTCTTCCTTAAGCTCTGATTCTTCAGTTTTGCATATTTTAAAGTACTTTTCCTCGCAAGAGGATAAAATACTCCCCTTAAGATTCACCATTTGTCTTGGAAAATTCAAGGTGCACCTGGCACATTCTGGTATGGGTCGGTCAGGGTGCAGTGGAAGGCACCAGCCCAAATTCTCTTTGGAGTCACCCTGTAATGACTAGGTCTGCTCATCTCGGAGAAACCTGCCTCCCTTTGAATACTGGTTCTAGACGGGTCAGCTAAGCCCAGACATTATCTGGAAGGAAAAGCACAGTCTGGGCACTGTTACAGATAAGACAGAACCAAGGGTAGTGGGCGATAGTGCCTGTGAGTCACCCCAATGGAGGAAGCCTGGGGTGCATAAAAGAACATGAGCCCCAAGGAAGTGCCGGCTAAGGCCTGGCTTTCAGAAAGCCCACCTGAGGATACTTGGGGTGAGGCCCAGCATCCCTCGTCACTGGCCCCTTAGGCATGCCCTCATTCCTTCACCTGTCTTGGAAAGCAGCTAGGGAGGCTTTAAAAGACAGAGGTGTCAGGAGGGAGAACACATCCGCTCCAGAGACTTTTCCCCCGCTGCTCCAGCAGCCTTGTGCTTGAGTGAGATCTCAGCATGAGAGAAAGCAGCTGATGGGCTTGAGAGGGGGGAGGCTCAGGGCCTCCTGAATCAGTTCCACCCCCAGAAAGTGGAGACTTTGAGTATACAACCCAGGTGAGACCTGATTGCAGGTTCACCTGAAATAGGCATGCAATGGAGAAAAATGGATCTACAGGTTACAGTTGCTGCATCCCACACTGTCTTCACTGCGCCGTAACCTCTTCTCCAGCTTAAGGGAGAGAAGCAGGCTCAAGCAAAACTATTTCAAGTCCTCATTCTCTATCAAATCTAATCCTGAGGGAGAACTGGGAGACTTGAAAGGTAAAGTGAAATTAGTACTGTATGCACACTACAACTCCTTTCTAAAATATAAAATATTCCCTAAGAAAATGGGCTGATTTATAATTAGCATATATATCAATAATAATCTTAGGAAGAGTGTTTACTTTAAAATCTTATAATTTTGTTTTAATTAGAAGTGAAAAATTTGCAAGTTACACTGAACGCATTTCCCCAACTTAAAAACTGAACCCTAAGATTGCAGGCAATAAACCCAGTCAGGACTGGACTCCTCCACACACATATGTATTCACATGTTCATGTAGACACACATGTACTTTTTAACAAGAAACAGGCCCATTTCAACTGTATTGTCAACACCCAATGTAAGACTCTTGTTTTTTTTTTTTTAGGCTTAACTTCAGGGTTAATCGTAAAGCAATTGGCTTATTTGCCCCCAAGCATAAACAGGTGTTACTCCCATAAGAACAAGGACATTATTTCATGCTTAGAAAGCAGGCATAAGTATCAGTGTTC